GAGTGACCCACAAGTGTGTCCTACAAGAGTGTCCGAGAAGAGTGTCCTGTAAGAGTGACCCACAAGAGCGTCCCACAAGAGTGCCCTACCTTATCAATAAATCCTGGTAATCTTGTCAAAATCACACACTCTCACAACAGTCCCTTCCCTATTGTTTGGTGAATTATCGGATCAGCAAGTCTGTCCTTGCCAGGCAAACACCACACATCAAATTCATGACTTGTTGGATGCTTGTCGTTTGCAGTTCATGCTGCGAGCATTAGCTCTGCCAGGCTACCAACAAGACCAGCCATGTCGCGTTCGTCGTCAATAGCTTTTTGTTATTCAGCAGCTGGGCATGGTCAAACAGCCATGGAAATGTGCGGCTGCCACAATTTTTTGCCCACGTGCTCTCGTGTTCTCTCCTGGATGCAATGCAACCTGAACTGGCCAGGAAGATGACGCTGCCGGGTGTGGATGGGCAAGAACCTACAGTCAAGCAACACGGGGCGCGCAACTCAAAGACGGACTCATTCAGTAATTTTACGTTCTATTTAGTTGGGGTGATATTGAATTGGTGTTTCGACATATGTTTGAAGGGAGCAATGTTGGAGTTTATTCATGTGTTCAGTTCGATGCAACACAACACAGGGAGTGAAATGATAATTGACAGGTGTGGCAAAATGACCATGGTGTTCCCTTATCGGTTCACTGTGCTTTGGACTCGCAGTATACATGGCTCATGTTCATGCAGGTTTTGGTTGCAAGCAAGGAGGTTCAGGAGGTCGAGGTAAAAGAAGAGAAACCTTCGATTTCTGTGGCCTAAAATTTTCTTAGGCTGTACAAAAGTGCAAAGTAAAACGGCATATTTGCCAAATAGGTGTGCTCAGCAACGGGCAGTCAAATTACTATCAGGTTGTGGAATCATGCAAAGGTTTTTAATACAGTAATTGGAAATCAGCAAGTCAGCCAGCAGAAAGGACGTTTATCCCTGTGCACACATATATTTCTCGAGAAAGTATTTTGTGTTTGTGTGCACCTGAGAACAAAGGATGCACAAAAGAAGGGAGAGACATGGCCACAGCATGTTCTTTGCCTACGAATCTGGGTGACGGCCTGTTCCACGTGCCTGCATGTTTCGACAAGACATGATGTGTTGGCGTGCTGACGCTTTACTGCGGGCTCAGGTCTTGTCTTGGTGCTTCGCTCGCGCTTTGGAAGAGCCGGGAACACACGAGCTGCCGATTCAGACATCAGATAGTGCAATGGTTTGTCAAAGCCAAATATATATATATATATAAAATGATCCCCGTCCCTGAATTAAATCCTGGGGTCCAATACAAAATAATACTTCTTACAATGTTCTCTTTGAGCAACTTTGCTTGCTGGTTTGACTCGGTTTGACATTCCAAGATTGAACTTCTCTGGCACGTACTTCGATCTTCAAGAGGTTGGGAATCAAAAAAATCGAAGAACTTGTAGAGGGAGGGGTCGCTGTGATTCAGCGTGATGAGCTCCCATCTTATCCAGCGACAGGAAATTCAGCAGCAGATGCAGACCATCAAAAGTACTGCTTTGCCACGCATGGATCAGGACAGACCGACACGACACGAGGGCAAAAGGCTTGGTGGGTCCGTGGAGATCGGCAATGGCACTATATAGAAACTACAAAGGTTGCTTTGGATGTGTATTAAATATTAAGTATTTATATAAGCAAAAAATCAAGGTGGAAAGCACCGGAAATGCAGAGGATAGTTTCATTATGTTTCATGCAAGCATGCGACGTGACATGATTTACAATTCGTTGACTGTACAAGTCTATGGCATTCTATGGGACACGCAACAAACAATTGCACTTGAAAGAGATCAAAGCAGTATGTTCGAAAACATGTTGTTTCTCATGCTTTTGGAACCGTGCTACCTTCCTCCATGGAATGGTTCAGTTTGATACATGTTGATACAGGTTTGTCATGGTTTGTCCATAGAAATGCTTAGACTCGAATCTCAGAGTGTGGAGGTCAGCACAGTAATCTAGTGACATGGTTGATGTTGTACATTGTATATTCCAAGCATGATTTACAATGGAGTTCGTCAACACAAGCGCTCTGAAACTCTTTGGCGATCTGAAATCTCAAAGGGAGTGAAGAAGAATCCTTCACTCTGCCAGGCCCTGCCACTTGCAAAGAAATGACCAAAAAAGTTTTGTTACTGGCCACAAAGCTCAAGGACATGTCCCAAAGGCATTCACGGCAAGCCAAAAGACTGGGCAAAAAGCTTAAGGACTTTGTGCCCAACACATTACCTTTGCTGACTCCTTTGCTGTTTTCCACGCCGCTGCATTGTAGCAAAGCCCGTCAGGGCTGGTCATTAAGGGCATCTCTTGAAACTCCTCAGTATTTGGCCTTTCTGTCCTGAAGCCTTGCTGGCCACGCCTCAAGCTTTTAAGCTTTTTGGGCCAACCCTGAATTTACTGTAGCCAGTCATCACAGGTCTTTAGCATTGTTGCTCGTCCAAAGGTGTTGGGCCAGTCCTTAAGAGTTGCTTTTGAATGTCAATAGCATTCATGAATGTTCAAGCACTTGGCCATTCCTCGAGGACAATTCACAATTTCCTCCCTGTGAAAGGCGTGCGCCCAATCGATTGTTTAATATGTATTAACATGTTGTTCAATCTTTCTTGTCTCTCTACTACATGACTAATTATTACTAATTCTATATAGCCTTTGGCCAATGCCAACCCTTCGAGATCCTGGCCAAGTGGAGCCATACCTTTCAGCTTGACATGTAGTCATGTCGATTCATTGTCAAAGAAACTACAAACTATAAATCAAAGATTGCAATGCCCAAACTGATTGAAACTCTACGATCCCATTTCAATTTCAGTGATGTGCGACCTCCAAAACCTTCCCGAGTATAAATCACCTTAGGATGTCAAATCAAACCATGTGTCAAGCTTGAAGATGAAGATGCTTGATAGATACGTTATGTTGTCCACAATCACAAACATTCCAGCAGCACGAACCCATGCGTCACCCTTAGGTCGTGGTGAACAACAACAGCTGCCATGCACATGGAAGTTACAAATGCAGAGATTGGATGCGGAGACCAAAAGATAATGCTACTCCCAGGCTGGTGGCTCCAATAAAGGCGGACTTTTGTTTCCACACCCTCTTGACACTGCTCACTTAGGATGATACAGAATCTTGCCATATTTTGCTTGTTGTTTCAACACTGATTCAAAAAGAAAAACGCTTCAAGTTTGTCAAAGCATCAATCACCACTGTTCGTACCACAGGATCCGCTGGTGCATGAGTGTCTCCACACTGACCTCAGAAACCCTGCCCCGTCACTATTTGTACTTTGCTAGTGTACGAGTTTTAAAGGTGAGGGGGTAGGCCGTTAGAAGAGGTAAGCCAGTTACGGTGTATATATATAGTAGCTATTAGGTACTGGACGCTTATTCAAGGAAGAGCACTATTCATGTGGTTCCTATATAGATTTGTAGGAAAGCTGATGCATTTGCATGACGCGGTGAAAGCGCTTATTTGATTCTTTGGCCTGGTAAGAAACAAGGTGCCAGTCCTGTCCCATCGTCGATAAAGACATTTCAATTACACCAGCATAGACCCAGATAGCTAGGCAGAATCCCACGACCTGTTGACATGCGACTGGCTGGAACAAGAATGTACGCAGCCTGCACATCCACAGCGCGCACAACCAGCTGACACCAGCACCGGTGCGCTTTGCCAGCTGACAACACCGGCAGCGGCGCCAGCACCCGACCAGCGCCGCCGCCCGTCTTAAACGCGCGCTCGGCCAGCTCACAGCACCAGCACCGACACCCTTTCGAAAGCGCGCGCAGCCAGCTCATTCTTATTTGCAGCAAGAACGCCATAGCTATCCCTATTGGGGGAATAACAAAGTATGATCTTGCGCGTATAAGTTGATGCACACACAAGTATGCGCGCAAACAGCAAAGCCCGTAAGTGTCATTGGCCAAGGCCAAGCAGTATCCAGCGCCACTATTGACTTTGTAGTATGATTGAAGCAACGATCTGTAGAACGATAAGGCCGTATGATCTGGCGCGTATAAGTTGATGCGCGCAAAAATATGCGCATAAACGGCAAAGCCCGTAGGCTTCACTCGCCCAAGGCCAAGCAGTATCCAGCACGACTATTGTGTGTGTAGCACGCTGAAACATGTTGAAAGAATGGTCAATGGTCGGTTGAGAGCCTGACGTTGCGCATAAAAAATTATACGTACAAAAGTATGCGCGCGAACAGTACAGCCCTTGACACAGCTGTGGGCCAAACCAGAACTTGAAGAGTGTCAATACACGTGCACAGCCAGCTCACAGCACCGGCGCCGGCGCCCGGCGCCCACCAGCACCGGCACCCGGCACCAGCACCACCAACCTTCTCCACCACGTACAGCCAGCTCACAGCACCAGCACCGGCGCCAGAACCCAGCACCAGCACCGGCACCCCACACCACCACCAGCAACCTGTCCCCACCACGTGCACAGCCAGCTCACAGCACCAGCACCAGCACCGGCACCAGCAACCTGTCTCCACCACGTGCACAGCCAGCTCACAGCACCGGCACCCGGCACCCGGCACCAGCACCAGCACCGGCACCCAGCACCAGCACCAACACCTGCAACTTGTCTCCACCACGTGCACAGCCAGCTCACAGCACCGGCACCTGGCACCCAGCACCAGCACCGGCGCCAGCAACCTGTCCCCACCACGTGCACAGCCAGCTCACAGCACCGGCACCCAGCACCAGCACCAGCAACCTGTCTCGAAATCGCGCACGGGCAACTCATGGTTATTTGAAGTAAGAACCCCATAGCTTCGCTTTCTGAGAAAAATTGTGTATGTCTTTATATATGTATACAAACCATGCAGCATGTTCACAGACAGTGGCAAGGAAGTCTTGATGACCTTCTCCCTCCCTTTGTGCCAGTCTCAATATGTCTCAATGCATATGCAAGCTCAAACAAGTTCAATCACGACACTCAACATGACGCAGCTGCTTTGGCAACAAAGGTCCAAGCCGCGTACTATGAAGGTGTTGCAGCCTGTCGGGCCTGTCGGCCCGCCATAAGCTGAGCATGGTTAGCATGGTTTTGCCTTTTTTTCGGTCCGTTTTTTGAAACGCTTTGTGTCGCCTGTGCTTGTATTGCTGGGTTATATAGTTTATTTTAGCTGTTTGTATGTCGGTATGTTGTCGTTTTTAATTTGAAGAGGATGATAAAGGCGGAAGGTTCTGAGTAGATCTGTGACCGTGTGTGGGTCAGGGCGATTATTGGACTGCACAAGCAGATCAGGCCTGCTCCAGACCGCGGCTTGAGCACTCAGAGCATGCGCTTGGCGCCGCCGGCTTGGGCCTCAGCAATGATTCTTGCAGGCCCTCCGCCAACCTTTAATCCAAACCCCAACCTTGCCCATGAAATTTGATGAGAGTGTCTTAAGCCCAAGCCCAGTAACTGAAACAAAGCCTTGCCCCTACCAACAAGATGTGCACAAGCCTGATCTGGAACCTGAACTCCAACGTGGCTCTCTCCAATGGTTTTGCGAGATTTCTATAGATTTCTGATCAACGTCCTTTCATATTACGTTTTTAGCAAGATGTTACGTTGCAAGATGTTGCGAACATCTCTTTGCAGTCTTAGCAGAGCATGTCATTTTGCATTGGGGGCTTCTGGAGATATGAATGTGTCATTTGGACGGCCTTCGCCCCTCCATGTTTCTCCCTTGTAGTTTCATGTAGTTGCGCACTAGTAAAGGTCCTTCGAGTTTCGATGGACAATTGATCTTCATTCTAAGACATGTGATAGTTTGTCCTGGTCTGGTCAGCGGGGACATATGGGGACATGACATTGGGACATGGAACCTAAAACCAAACCAAGACTCCTTAACCATTGAAACCAACTGAGCCCGTGAAACCAAGCCTGAATTGAAGCTACCCCCAGCACCAGCTCAAACCGGCAAGCAATTTCATTTACGTTTGCACCAGAGCAAGTCGAACCAGGACTTGAACAGTTGCCATGTCCGTGGATCAAAGTGACAATGACTTGAGATGGTGAGAGACATTGAAACAGGTCCTTGTTGTTTCTATTTTCTATCGAAGGCTTTCGAAGAACTTCTTGCTTGTTTCGAGGTCGTGCCTCCACCACCCCCAGGCTTTCTTGCAGGCAAGTGGCAAGTGGGTGCCAGGAATTCATGCAGGGCTCCCTTACCGCCCGAATTGTATGAATGATGGTTTGGCGGAAAGAAATGACCGCATGTTGGTGAGAACCTGTAGAAATGAATGCTAATATATGTTTGCAAGGGGTGGGGGTTGCATCCGCTCCAATCCATTTTGTGCCAAGCCATCCATCCGTCCATAAAGCCTCCCCACTACTGGTATTTTGATCCACGTCCCATTGCGCTCCATCTTGACCAAGCATTGGAACGATATACTGTGCCCTTTAAGTCTGGAAGGCCACTTTGGAGTCTTCGAATGTGTTTGAATGTTTTTGATGCTGTTTGCCAAAGCACAAGCCTCAAAAGCGGGTCGCCAAAGGATTGAGGGATTGCCCGAATGCGTGGGCACGAACCACAAACCATGTGCTGGAGCGCTCTTCGTGTGAGTGAGCTGCAAGGAACGAGTCAGCT